GAGAGGAAGGGGAGGGTAGAAGAAGAAAGGAAATGGAAGGGATGGGACGGATGTGAATGGGAACAGAAATACCGTAGGTGGGGAGCACACACTGCCGTGTACCCTTATTTACTTTAACCCGCCAATCGAGGCGGTTATCGGGTGTAGCCGCTAGGCAGAGCTCAGGTTCTGGAAGCCGCAGATGAGAGGGGGGTGTCAGTCAAGGATAGTGATGAGCAGTCACCATTTGCATGGCATGACTTACCACGCGTGCACGGGTGTCCCTAACTGGACACACCTACACTCCAAGTAAGATGTACACTTTCTTGCACGGAACATTTCGACCACCATACTAGCAGTGCCAAAGAGGACCGCAGGCTTTACGCAGGAGAGATGCATTTTGTAATATGTAAAAGTGTGGCTGGGTCTGTACTCTGTTACCTTACTGAATATTTTCGTGAGTATGCGCATGACTAAATAAGCCCATGCGATGATCGAATGCCCTGCGGCAGTGTGGATAAGGGAGGCGTATGCCAGGTGTGTATGTGTCGGAGCTGCAGACCCAGGTTCTTGGCTAAGGTGCGACGTATTTGTGACTGGCCAGACCGGTACGGGATTCAAATGAACGGTTGGAACAGGAACGGGTTCGAAGTGAGTCGTTATTTTTGCTGGAAGGGGTAATGGTGGACAGGGTGAGAGGAGTGTCATCACTCGTGGCGCTAGCGTAGATGGTTATTTTTGTGGCATGGGAGGCCCGTTGTTTTTGTTGACAATAGTCAGGGCCCGAAAATGTCCCAGGAGGTCTCCCGGGCCGTGAATATTCGTCAAAAATGTGAACACAATGACAGAAACTGACTGTTCGCCGCTGGTACGCGGCACTGATGATTTGTAAGCCCCCGTTTTGCCTTGTCAACGTCCATTCACTTGAATTAGATGTATATTCTTGTCCCAAAGACAGTGGGTTCTGTCCGTCGATCTTGAACGTGGTCCTCCGGGGCGTCCCGATTGATTTCTGGGTGTCTTTTAGCGATGATTTTGTCCGCCTTGTCTGCAAATACGCCTAGTTATGTCGTCATGGAATAGTCACTAGAGTAGGCGCTCGTCATCGGCCTGATAACTTGACCTCTCAAACGCAGGTATGTCTACGGTGGCATGGCGTGAATACTGAGGACGTCAGCTCTTTCAAGGATCTCATTGTGTAGATCCTTCTCTACCTTTTGCTCCTCCATATTTCCCAGCTTAAGTAAAAATGGCTGAGTGTTGTTGCCTGTGGTTCAAGCATAGTCTACGTCTTTTTCATGTACCAGAGCGCTGGCTAAACAACAACCCTGAACTTCATTTGTTTTATTTTGAAGAAGATACCGCGAGGGTTCCTGACGGAGCGCTGTAGCCCACCGAAGGCCTGGCTGATTTCGGAGATACGAATTGCTATTTCGTCGCCGATCTGGATGTTTCTCGATATCCTACTTCTCGGGGGGGGGGGGAGAAGGAGGGGAAGGGGAGAGCGAGGGGAAGACGAAT